AGGGCAAATAAACACCCTGGCTGCGTCTACACTGGCCGCTTGAATTTGCGCAAGAACGCTGACGATCTAATGTAAGATTGTCAGTGTTCTTGGGCAAATACTATGACGCTCCCGCTCAGGGATAAGCCCTCTTGCGCAAATGTATTTGCGCAAGAGGGCCAGTGTAGACAGCTAAAAACTGTTTTGCGCAAAAAAGCCCCGATGGCAAAAATGGCGATCGGGGCTTTCTTGCACAAAACCGGGATGCTTTTCCGCAAAAAGTGCTTTTGCGCAAAAGCATCCGTGCCAATCTAGACGCTCTTTTCTGCAAATGCTTTTAACGGAAACATTTTCCGTGAAAAGCATTTGTGGAAAATTATGCCAGTCTAGACGCAGCCCCCAAGTTTGCAGAAATGAAGCTGGTCCTCCCAGCTGGGTTTGGATCATTTGGCTGGAAATCAGGAGAGTGGGCATGCATAAGGCAGTCTTTTTTGCTCTGTGTTTGTACAGCACCTGGCACTATGCCGTGCTGGGAATATAAGATAACCGTCGGTTCTTTTGCTTCTGGCTTGGTCCTTAAGAATAGGCTCTTGTGTTGCATTTCAGCTCACCCAGAAGAGAGGGGGTGGTGTGTTTGTGTGTGTGTGTGTGTGTGTGTGCCTGACTTTAGCTCTCAGTGCCTCCTTTTCCCCCTTCCACGATGGGAGAGGAACGGGGCCGTGTGCATGTGGCATGACTGCCCCCCGCTGGAGGTAATCAGAAACGCTCTACTGAGTGTCATGAGCCCTGCAAGGCCTTCCTAGCAAGAGGGCTGTTTGTGTGGGCGTGGGCGCACCGTATCCCTTGCAAGGAACAAAACCCAACCCCTGCAAATTTCCCTGGCACGCGGCGTTGGGGCTGGAGCCCAGAAGGGGTCGGGACCGCTGTGTTGGCGTTGTAACTCACACACCGTTGTCCCTTTGGTGACGAAGCCAGCGCCGGTCGTTGTCCCGCCCTGCTTGTAGAGCGCTGCTTTGAGGGACAGGTCCACACAGCAGCTTTCCTCCTCCAAGGGAACGTGTCTCTCTGGACGGGGCTGATCCCGGCTTCCAAGGCAGAGAGCAGATCAAATAAAATAGCCACTGATGCAGAGGGTGTATGTATGTGTGTGTGGGAGGGGGTGGGGGAGATAGGGATGCTGCTGCCGCAGAAGGAACGTGGGGGCATGGCACCCCCATGTGGCTGAACTAAGAAGAGCCGTCCCCGGCTTTCTGCATGCAAGGGGAATGATCGCTGCAGGAACTCGAAAGAGACATGGGAAAGTGGGAGGTTTGGCTGTCTCCTTCCAGCCAGGACAGGACTGTCCCCGGCGGATCTCCCAGCTTTTTGGTCCCAGCATACTTTGTGTGATCTCCTAGAGAAGAGGAGCTGACCCCTTTCCCGAGTCCCACAGATACGCACCGCCCTCAACTTCAGCCCTCGGGGCAGCCCTATCAGGCCAGTGAGACGGTAGAGGACTCCCTGGGGGACCCACGAACTGCTCTGCCGCGAGCCGGGCCCCTTTGGATCCAGCTGGGCTCCGAAACCTCCCATCAGGAGCGAAGCGGGTTGCTTGGCCCTCCGCCCAGCTGGTCAGGTGCGGAGCCCAGGGCTTTCGTGGGACAGTGAAAAGGCCTCATCTCTCGGGGTGACCTAGCGGAAGGAATACAGGTCTGAGGTCCTGAGCGTCTACAGCCCGGCTGTGCCATGACTCTCCAGGAGCCCATCTTGGTGCTGCCTGTTCCCCGGCCGTAACATGGGCTGTGAACACAGCCCTGCAGAATGGCTGAGCAGCGTTACACGTATGGGTGTCAATCACAGGCAGCCGCTTGTAGTGTGCTGCTTTGGTTTGTTTTCCTTAGGCCATGGAGAGGGGGACCTCCTGACGACTCGCTGGCCCCTGGGAAGTTTGGGAGACTAGGGACAGGCCACCCCGGGTCTGTCAGCGTGGCCATGTTTCACTATTTGCGATTACGGTAGAGCCACTAGGCCCCGAGCGAGATCAGGGTGCCATGGGGCTAAGCTCTGGCCTTACAGCCTCTTCCCTGAAGAGCTGAGACGCATGTGAGACAGAGAAACGAAATAGCATCATCTCCATCTTACGTGGGAAACTGAGGCACGGCACAACTGGCCTGCCCGGCCAATGGAGAGCTGCAGGGAGAAATTGGTTCCCTCCTACTACTGAAGGGGGAGGACTCAGGGAGGGGAGTCGGTCCTAGAGCTCATGAATCCCCATCTGGCGCCTTCACCACAAGACCAACCTTCCTCTTCTCCTCGCGGCCCACCCGAGTCTTCCCCATTAGGGTGACCCCTGCTGGCTCGGACTGGGGCAGCGTGTGTGTGCTGTAGTCTGGGGGGGGGCAGGAAAGGAAGTGGGGGGGCCAGACCCAGGCGCATTCAGCAGGTGTCTCCTCTCCGGCGCAGAGGGCGGCGTTCAGACGGTGAACCTGGACGACACGTGTACCCACTACATGATCCCGGGGCTGCAGCCTGGCCTGGAATACACCGTCACCGTCAACCCCATCTTTGGGGACGTGGAGGGGCCTGCTGTAAGTGTCCCGGGGCAGGGACGTGGGGGCGTCCTGTCCATAGGATGAATGGGGGCGCTCGCCCCAGGCCCTGCGCTTTGGGGGCCGCCCCCAATAGTCCTATGGACAGGCAGGACCGGGGGTCACGGGGGTCTGGGGTGGCAGTCGCAAGGGCAGCGTCCCTCCCGCCCCACTTACCCCGTGAGTGGCGGGAGTCAG